GAATTTAAAAGATTTGGCAAGTAGCAAGCATCTTGGCGTTTGGCTCTAGCGTAGGTTCAGGCTACAAAGAGTGAGAACAAAGACCACAGAGCAGTCGCTCTGTAGATCAGCTGTCCTGCAGCCCCAGAATGGCGCCCGGCCAGGTCGGGCTAAGTACCCTTAGAAGAAGAGAGGAGAACACAGCAAAATAGTTAGGAATAGAAGAGCTGAAAATTATACAGAACATGTAAGGATTGGTCGATTCGTTACATAGAACGAAAGGATATTCTCTAAATAGTAATGACTAAGAGCCAAGCCAATTTGTGCAAAAGCCAAGCCGTCTGGACCAAGCAACAGAAAAAGATGCAGGAGAGAGAAGAAATCAGAAAAATACGCAAATGGCGAGCAGCCAAGAAGACAAGCAAAAGCAGCGGCAGGGGAGCATGGAGGCGTGGGAAGTGACAAACGGCTGTCACCTTGACAAAAGGGAAGAGCTGAGTTAACAATGGAGACGGAGGTGCGAGTACAGCTCTGAAGCCCAGCGTGACTGCAAAATTAAACGTCCATCATTCAGCCGCCATGACAGTGACTGTTTCCAGCATCAGGAACGAAGACCCATGTGGTCACCAGTCCGGATTTACTTAGAAAGAATGCGAGATAGCTGCCATCTGCCATCTGCCGTCCAAGAAGGGGGAGGAGAGCAACGAATGAGAGGAGGACCCAAGCTGCAAGCATCACCTCCCGAGGCCCCTGCTGCCACCCTGTGCGGGTGTTCTTCCCTGCTCTTCCCACAGCTCACAGCTGTCACCCCGCTCCTGCACAAACGTCCCCTCCTCACCTCGCCAGCCGAATCAAGCACTCGCTCACAGTCCAGTCATTCTTTAACTCCTTAATGTTTGTTTTCGCCGTCAAACTTCCCACCACCTGCATTTATGTTATACTTTTGAGTATTTTATTTTCTGCCTTGTCCTAGGTCACAGGAGTCCCCGACGCCCGGGCTGTGATTGGTACCCATCTGTGGATGTTAGGAACTGGGCCACAGAGCAAGAAGTGAGCAGTGGGAGGAGTGAGCGAAGCTTCATGTGTACGTGCAGCCGCTCCCAGCGCCAGCATCACCGCCTCAGCTCCGCCTCAGATCGTCAGACGTTAGAATCTCATAGGAGCCCCGGTCCCTGGTGCCACAAAGGTTGGGGACCGCTGCCCTAGGACGTAAGCTCCATAAGGGCAGGCACATCATCTTTCTCGTTCTTTGCTGCGTTCCAGCACTTTGAAAGGCGCCTGATGCTCGTTGAGTGGTGGGCGAGCACAGTTCCACACTGATGTTCCGATTCACGTGCACCCAGGTGGGGACTCGGCCGTCTACAGGTACGCAGTACACACGTGCTCTCTTTCTGCGCAGCATATTCTAAAGAGCCTCCCATCTCCAGTGACAGTCCAGGTGGCTCAGGAGCCCGGCCTACCTTCCGGCTCCAACGGTGGCGCCTGAGGCAGGGCGGGTTGCTCAGAGTCCAGTCACCATGCCGCAGGGTTTGGTGCGTGGGTTGGCATGGACTCCAAAGTAGGTGAATTCAGACTCATCCCCAGGGCTCTTCCCAAAGCTGGGCGACTCATATATTCTCTGGGGTCAGTCTAAGTGGAACCTAAGCCTGGAGCCACCAGCAACCAACCTTGTTACCGAGTGGGAAGTAGTTGCAGAAAAATGAGTCCGACATGGAGGAAAAGCTGAGATATGTGAAAGAAGAGATGCATTTCTGATGACAAGGTTGAAATCCCTTTGGGTCCAAAGATGCCTAAAAGTTAACCTTTTCAACCTTCCAACCTTCGAATCTTTGAACAGGAGATAATTGAAGCTCTAATTTAAGCTAATTTAAGTTGGATTTCTCTCACTTGCAATAGAAAGAGTCCTGACTAGTGGAAATTGTGAGGACTTGGGCAAGTCTCATTTCAGCTACCTGTGAAACAGTGATAATAATACCTCTGTGTGTGCGCGAAATTAGTAATAGTTTAAATTACAAAAATCAATAGTGGCTACTCGATACGTGGAGAAGCGGCTCGTGGATGTGGTAGGAGCAGCAGCAGAGCTCGCTGCTAGAACAGGACTGACCGCACTGGAAATGAGCGACGGAAGGAGAGGGTATGGTCGGATCTGTCCACAGAGAGGCTGATGCGAGCTGCACCCGGCACTTGGCGTGCGAGAAGCCTAAAACAAGACCACACCCGCAGGGAGAGATGGTCACAGAAGATACACGGACAGAAGGAAATAAAAGAAGGCCAAGACTATCCATGACGTAAGAACAGTAAAGACACTGAGTTGTTGGGAAGTCAGAGAGAAGTCAGGCTAGAAAGACTGGACACAAAAAAATATTCCGAGGTACAGGCGAGGGAGGGACAGCCGTGTGCTCCGATCCTCTCGTGGGGACCCTGGCCCGATTCTCAGGACCAACAACACATCTTTGAAAGGTCAGACACTTTGTTGTACTGCATCCTGAATTAACTTACCCAATTAGCAAATCAAACTAGGTACATACATCCTCTTGAAATGCAAATTCCTTTCCTTCCCAAGCCAAGAGCGAAGCTGTAGAACATCATCCTCACTCCAGCCTCACCCGCAAAGCAGGAGCAACTGCCTGCACGTGGCTTGAGAAGAGCCGGCCTGGGATCGACTGACATTCCAGCAGCGTGTGGTCCTCCACGTTGTTTACATCGAAAGGGCAGCTTGTCGCAGTATCTGTCATTTTCTCATCAACTAAACATCATTCGACATGACCGTACCAAGCCATTATGTGAGCAGTTCTCAGTAAGAAGATGGCTGTAGTTCCCTATCACGTGTTCAAAGTTAATTGAGAATAAATGCAAATGTTCACATGAGCAAATGCAATTAATGGATCGACAAGCGTTTTCTGAGGAGCGATTTGGTGTTCCGAAATAAGACACCTCGGAGAAGGTTCACGGCATCTCGAAGAGAGTCAGAAAACTTCGAAGCCGAAGAAGCACAGCTTTCCAGTGAATCCAGACGCACATCGAGACCTCACTCGCCCCAGAAGTGCAGTGGGCGCCAGTCCCCAGGAGGCCTTTCCGGCCCCTCGCCCAGAAGATCCGGCCTCCATCGCAGCCGCCTTTGCCATGTCAGAGCCCTCTCCACTGCAGGGGAGTTCTTTCCGCCCTTCAGTCTCCCGACCCGCCTCCACCGCATCCCCCATGCGAGCGAGCGGTGCGCCTTTCCGAAGAGCGCACCCCTAAAAACCTCAGCCCTGCGGAGCAGGGACCGGCAGGAGAGAATGAGGGGTGATGGCACCCCTATAAACCTCAGCCTGCTATGGAGCAGGGACCAGCAGGTGAGGGGCGATGGTACCCCCTATAAACCCTACTGCGGAGCAGGGACCGGCAGGTGAGAATGAGGGGGATGGCCGAATGACAGCCTATTTGAAATGTTCGCATCGCTATTCAAACGACTCTGTTTTACGAACTTTACCGTCATCCTGACAGCTGCCAGTGACTTGAGTTCACCCAGATTTGAAAAGAATGAAATTGAACTGATTGTCCCAGCACCTGCTAATCCTGAATTTCTCTGAACTTAGAAAATACCATCACCTAGCAACTTCCAGACATTTTCTCCCTGATTCTTGCACAGCGCGAACCCATTCGCGAATGCACAGCAAACGCCTCTTGTGTCTGACCGTCTTTTCTTGTGTCGAGTAAACGGGAATTTGCCCTCTAGGCTTAGCCGAGGAGAGCTCAGCTGCTCTGCGGCCATGACATGGAAGAGCTCACCCTGAGCAAGCAGGGCTCCTGTCTGTCAGTATTTTTAGCATTTTCCCCACTCCCCACTGTTACCTCATTGATTCGGCTAATGGACCACAGTGTTTTTCAAAATATGAAATGCTATTAGGCAGAGTTCTGAGGAATGTCGATTCATCTGAAGGAATAAACGGGAGTTCCAAGCTCATTGCAACATGAAAGATGTAATTTCTGTGATATCGCTTATGATTGGAAGTCCATCCAGTCGGGTGTAATGGGAAACTGAGTCGGGCTGCGGTTCGGCAATGGAAGGACGAGTGCTTGAGACGCGGGCTGCGGGGCCCGTGCACCTGAGCCCGAACCGCCACTTGCAGCCGCCGGACCTGAACTTCTCTCTGGACAGCTTCGTCCTCTGCGAAAGGAGACCAACAGGAGTGGCCGTCTCCAGATTAAGTCCGCTGGTCCCTGGGGAGCGGGCATTCGGCACATTCTTAGCTGATGCTGGAGTTCTTAATGCCCCATGATTATGAAGGTGTTTCAGGCCTGGGGCTTAATTAAGTCCTAACGCCTCCTGATACACACGTTGAAATGACAGAGGTTGACCCTCCTTCACACCATCAGAAAACTCCAGTGAAGTAGACACGCTTTCTGAGTCAGTAACGAATAAATAGTGTAGAATTGGATAATATTAACAGATGAAAGGACACGGGCATCTTCATGGAGGACAAAAAAACAGAAATTTTTTCCAGGAGGTAAGAGAACCATTGGCCGGGAGGCCCTGCAGCTCAGAAACCCAGAACGCGGAGCTGAGCGAGCACTAAGTGCCAACGTCGCCCCAGAACGTGCGCGCCCGAGGGTGTAACTGATGGGTGAGTGAGGCGTGTGCTCAGCGAGTCCACCTTTCGTAAAGGGAGCATGGGATGCGCAGAAACAGGAACGCCAGGCGGGGTGTCCGACTAGCAAACAGAAGCAAAGCGCATCCAGGTGCAGCTGCGTCTTAGACGTTTTAGTACAGGCGTGCCCCGTGCGTGCCTCTGGCTCGGCATCCTGGAGGTGGGGGACTCTATATCAGATGAATACAGCTCGCCCTGCCCCAGACCCGGTGGAGGAAGGGAAGGCGAACTGTGTGAAAATGCCGCATGAAATGAGGCTCCCAAAAACAGGTCAGGAAAAAGTAGGGCATCGTCACCACGCCCTCCTCGGTAGAAAAGAGGCTGCACGGGTATCCTCGAACATCACTGTCAGTTTTGTGAGACCACGAAACACACCAGACACATAGTGGGTCTCAGTAAATACATTTTTATTCAATAATTAGAAACGAAAGTATCATTCCATTTTAAGGTCCCTTTCTCCAGGAAAATGGCAATACACCTTTGTGTTCAATTGGTACCAAAAAGTTGGCAGTTGTTCAAGAAAGGGCCCTTAACTTCCCTGCCTGCTTCACAGCTCCCCATGAAGCTTTTTAGAACAATCCCCCTCCCCGCGCCTAGGTCCCAGTGCCCTGGAGGCCGGGGACCCTTCGCCCCATTCCCACAGCCCTTCTGCACTCCGAGCGGCTGCTCAGGGGCCAGGCGGGTGAGCTCACAGCTGACATCAAGCCCCCGGGGCTTTCGGTGAGCCAGGCTCTGACACCGCATCACCATGCAGCACCAACGCCACTGGAAAAAGCAGGGGGACAGTGACACTATCACAGCGACTGCATGATATGCATGCGATGCGGATCTGCAGCGGCGACAGAGCTTGAAGCGCAGCCGCACGCGACATGAGAGTGCCTGAAATTGGGCCCCACGCGGTGACAAGGAGTTTCGATTTTCTGACTTATACAGAATTCTGTATTATGTTTGGCAGCTCTGTTTCACATCAGTGGCTGGTTCCATAACGCTAACAAAGTACGAAGATGAGAAAATGTCGCTAAAAAAAAAAGAATGCAGAAAGCGCATGCAAGCTTGAAGCCATAAAACCTAATTTCCTGTGGGAAATTACTGTTCTCTCGTGGTGATGGCATTTGGGGGGCACAGAGACTGCAGGTCTGGCTCTTCCTGCACGTCTGCTGAGACCGGGGCGGGTGCGGGGAGGTGGGGCTGCTGCCCTGTCTGTGGCCACCCCCACAGCACCTGTCCTCCCCTGCCCTACTGCCACCCCCACATCTGCTCGGAAAACCCAGGACCGGCACATTCACTGAGAGGTTTTTTCCCCAATCAGGTTAAAACATAAAATGAGGTTCCAGCAAGACAGTGACAGTAGACCAATGCCATTCATCGTCCCCGCCATCCAGCCCCCAGCAGCGTCCGCATGTGGAAGGAGCTGAGCTGGGCTGCTCTGCAGGTGGAGGGGAGCAGCCAGCTCCCTTTCCGATGGCTCGTGTCCCCAGGGTGGTTGTGGCTTCCTCCTTGCCCAGCCGAACTTCCAGGGGTGTCTCCTCTGTGCCCGGTGCCTGTGGTACATGGAGGTGGCTCTCCCCTGGCTGTGGACATCTCCAAGGACACGTGAAAGGTTAACAGGGATCAGGACATTTAGCCCATCCCATTGCCTCTGCCTCCTGTTCTCTTTCCAGCTGTCTTCCTGCTTCAGTCAAATCGACATTGGCACCAATGGTCCCCTGCTTTTCTGGCCTCCCGATTCACGGCTGCCTCCTTTCTCGTACGCAGCCATTTGTCAGACTGATTAATTATCTGGTCCCTGCTCCTCTGATGGGGTCTCCAGCCCTGTCTAGCGAGCTGCTCCCAGGGTCGGGGGTTCTGTCCTCTCCTGGGTCTCACCTCCTGATTCTGGTCCCAAAGGGTTGGAGGTGGACACCTGTTGTCGGTTCACTAAGAATAACACCTCGTAAGTAAAATTCACTTCACAAGGAGGCAGGACAGCATCGTGGGCAGAGTACAGGCCTTGAAGTCAGACAATCAAGGTGTGGAATCTTGACTCAGGCCCTAACCAGCCACATGACCTCAGCAAAGGGATGTCACCTTCCCCATCTTCCATCTTTGCACCTGAAAAATGGGGGTTCTAAGGCTGTGCCGACACAGACAGTAGTGAAACGAAGATTTGTGGAGAACATATGGGAACTGTGCCCCCCGCTGGGTTTTCTGATTGCAAAATGCTCCCACTTTACGCCTTACCGCCTTGCACCGTCTTTCCTGAATGAATGAGGTTAGACAGGGCCCGCCGTCCACCCCCTCATCCTCTGCGCTGCTGCTTTGTATGCAGATGGACGTTTTTTTGCCGTTGAAGCACTCGCAGTAACTCAATGGGAAAAACCTAACGGATTCCATATCACAGCCCCAGTGGAATATCTGTGCTTATGAAATGCATTAGTCTCATGGGTTTCCTGCTTTTATATTATTAAATGTAATGTTAATCTTTTGACAAATGAAAGGTTATTCATTATTAAAAGCAAAGATATTTTATTCAAAAAGCAGCAGACTGGTTGCCACATACGTGGTCGTTGACGTGATCTTAAGTCACTAAGTTCTGCTGCATTACGGCCACTTGCTGTCTCCTGCCACTATTTGCACTCCCGTCACCTGTGCCACTAAAGGGGCACAGCGGTAAAGCCATCGATAAGTCACGCTTCCACAGAAACCGAGGCCAAAAAGCACCTCGCCCGCAGCATGTAATGACGATACAGGGGTTGGTCACACTGTCCCCTGCCAAAAAAAATACCTTCCTTTAGTCCCTTCAAATGTTTACGGGAATCCCATGTGTCTGAGTCCCAGGCACTTGTCACCAATAACAGGAGACACCCTGAGGAATAGAGACCATGTGGCCAGAGACCATATATCACATTCCCTGCCAAGCAGTCATTCCCAGAAGCACTTCTTAGAAAGTGAGTTTCTGAAAATGGAAGCAATCCAAAATATATCGCCATCGTTACTCATTGAGGCTAATTACTGTAACAACCATGTATATTGTGTCATGAATATTTATTTTTATAGGGGTATTTCCATTAGCTTTCTGTCCCGACCATGAGTATTTGAAAGCTTACTTGACGGGGCTATAAAAATTAGAGTAACAATAATAATAACCTCTATTATTGATCATATAATATGAACCAAATATCCTTTAATTTAATCCTTACGACAATGCCGATAGGAAAGAATTATTATTACGTCTACTGCTTACAAAAAAGGAAATTTATTTTTATTTATTTTTACTTATTTTATTCATTTATTTTTTATTATTTTCTTCTTATAAATAAGGAAACTGAGACTTACAGAAGATAAGGAACTAGTCTTCACGGCTCCTGCCGAAGCCAAATTCAACGTCAGGTTTTAAGTCTTGAGTTCAACTACTAGTCACACTGTATCAGTTTGGTCATCTGAACAATCAATTCCTCCTCAATTCCCAAAGCAAGGGTCAGGACTGAAACGCCTCCATGAGTTGGACAGATAAATAAATGAGTTCGCTCTGTACAAATGACAGGAAACAGTAGGGTCTGTGGCAGCCCTGGAGTGTATAGGTCCCTCCAAAGACAGCCAGCATCTCCATGACACTAGCAATCAAACTAACCGCATCCAGAGGCCACTTTGATACAAGACAACAACCTTAACACTCTGTTTCTAAACCGATCTAGGGAAACTTCAGCCCTGGAACATTCTTTGCTGTGTATAAATACTGAATCTCTGACCAGTGGAAATAAAGCAGATATGGAAACAGAGGAGAGTAATGCTAGCTTTCAAGGAAGAGAAGATTGGGAAAGAATATCAGTATGGTTAGAAATGACTACTACACTCATAGAAGAGTCAACAGTAACCAGAGATACTAAAGAATAATATGACAGAAATGCAAAAGCCGGTGCAAAAAATAACAAGTATTCCCGTATCCGAGACAGTTACAATGACAAGTAGTTCGGCTTATTCCCAACTACCAGAAAGAGGTTCCTGTGGGAGGAGAGGGAGGAGGCGAGGTCGTGGAGGAAGCAGCTAGCATGTATTAAGCACCTGCTGTATGCTATGCTTGCACAAGAGGTTTCGCCCATTCCAAAAACACCAGCAAAAAGATGAAAGGCTCCTGACAAGAATTACCAAATCCCACATCAAAATCCAAAATCACTCTTAAAATCAGGAACACGTACAATTACAATAATGAAAATATCATTAATTCGTTCGCCACCTCCTACAACATCAGAGAATGCAGCTAAAGGAAGCATCAGGAAAACCTGCCACAGAACTTTGGGTACAAAATATTTATATTAACATGTCGTTACTGCAAAACATTTTGTAAAAATTCTCCATAAACCAGCAGTAACGTGTAATTGGTAAAATTTAGAAAGAGTTGCCTTTTTTAACAGCTTCCCTTTAATGTCAAAACATTAATACCTTAATTTTCATCAAGTATTAGCTAATAGCACACCTGACCGACATCTTCATCTTACATTATCTCTGCATAAATGACACCTTTTCTTTTCATGATAAAAGAAATCGACAGAAGTCCCGCAGGCTTCTGAGGTTAATGGCTGCTGCGTCAGGATCGTGAAAAGCAAACGAGGCTTGGGAATTTGCCGAACTGAAGAAAATTGTGGGCAGCCTCTTGGACACTCACCGCAACAAAGAGTCATAGTGTTTAAAAAAGACATTGGGGAAGGTACCATGGTCACCAGGTAGAAAGGCTGGCTTTCCCATTGTCAAAAGAGAGAGACGAACAGAGTATAAAGTAGGATGTTAATTATTATAGGAAAATGATCTCTGAGGAATAATCTTCAAGCAGTGTCTCTTTTTAAATTAAATTTTACCAGATAAAAAAGAAGGATTTTACAATATACTTTAATCCAACAAGGATAAGGAAATAACCAGATTTTTTAAATTGTTTATGTCGATATTTTTCTGTGATTTATAAATTAAAACGATGCTAATGGCTAAGCTGGTAATTTAATTCACAACTTGAGGCTAAGTGACCAAGATTCACATTTTCACAAAGCAAGCATCCCTGTAGAATGTACAGCCCTCCTTCTGTTTCCTGAACAGAAATAACATTTTATTTTGAATTAAGCAAACCAAAGCAAATCAGGCAAACTAGTCCTGCAACCCAGCTTTACCACTGGCAAACTGTATGACTCTAGACCTAAGCCCCTGTGTCCCAGGCTCCTCTTTAGTTAAATGGAAATGGTGACAGTCAAGTCACCTTACACAGTCAGGTAGACCAATAGAGAAAACAGAACTGTCTGTCACACGCTCTGAGGGATCAACCCACAAATTCATGTGGGCGTTCATCCACGCAACGGATGAGTCCCGAGACCCACTGGGGGTCAGACCCTGTCGTTGGTACTGGGGACACAGCAATGACAATTCAGGAAAGTCTCTGCATTGATGGAATGTACATTCTAGTGGGAGACACGGACAATAAATAAGAAAGCAAATACATAACACAATTCCAGGTAACGATGAGCGATTTGAAAAAATGAAGCGGGGTAAGGGGTAGAAGATGGGACGAGGGGGTGCTGAAAGCAGAATTCCTTAGCTGGGGCAGGAGCCGACACCCAAACTGTGGGAAGTATTTTTTCAAAATACTTCAATAAAATACTTATGCTTTTTTTCCTTCTACTTAGACTGCCTAAGATCTATTAGCCTACACACAGATTTTTCTAAAAATGTAACTCTGATAATGTCACTTCCCTTCCTGAAGGGAGAACGTTCCAGGCACGGGAAGGGCGGATGTGAAGTCTTTTAATTCTCGAACAGGTTTGGCAAGAACAAAAGGAAGCCTGTAGCAGAAGCGCCGTGAGGGGGCGGCGGGGGGTGGCGGGGGAGAAAAGCAGATCAGACCTCTCGGGTAGTCACCAGCCAACTCAGAAAGGTCCACCCAAAGGGTCACGTTCTAAGAATGACGTGAAGCCTGTTCACGGTTTTAGGCAGCAGAGTGACAAAGTTTGAGCGGCAGTGTTCCCCGAATCGTGACTTTATCCCTCATTGACCCTAAGCACCTATCCACGTTTCTGAAACCAGGGGCGGGGCGGGGGATGCACAGTTTGGAAGGGCGCCGTTTACCGCGATGCCGCTCATTAGACCAGCCACTCCTGAGTGTGTCACAGCTCCATGCACCCTCGGTGCTGGGTGCTTCATCAGATCAGACATTCACACTCACGCCTGTACTGTGTGTGAGCAATAGTTGCCATAAACTGGAAATGGCAGAAACAAAACTCCTAGAGAAAAAAACTTCTTGAAATTTGTAACCAGGTAACTGTGGTCCTCCATCTTCTTTGAAACAACTATGACTCCGCCACCTGCTGAGAACCCATTAAATGACTGATGTGAATGAACTCAAGGAAATAGGCAATAACACTAACAAAGCACATGCACTGCAGACGTCTCTAGTTCTGAAAACATGTGTTTGTCCCTTCAAAAATACATCTTTACTGCCTGAGGAGAAGCAAAATAAAGGTGTCATGCTGCATAATTTTGAATTCTTAAGTGTTAAAAATAAATTTATTAATCTCAATACATTTCATTTATTTAGGTAAAGAAAGAAAATCATAAGACCCTAATAACATGCATCAACGAATAGGAACCAAGTGCAAATTACCTAATTTTGTGGGTTCGAAAGTATGGAAATAAAGGGCAGTTTTAAAATCAAAGCTATTATGTTAACAACACATCATGAAATAAGAATGTTAAAAGGTGGATCCCCTTCCCACTCTAGAATGTACCGGAAACAGCTGTTCAAAGCAACGCAGTGTTTGAAGTGTAGCTAGAACACGCCTCTACCACCGCACATCAGTAGGGGGCTCTGGGGTGTCTGCCCAGAAGGCACAGCCCTGGTCAAAGCGGGGCCTCCACTGCCGACCCCTGCGGCAGCCAACGGCCCGGGGCACGGCCCGGGGCACAAAGGCGAGGACGCTGAGGGGCTGGTCTGCGGCTGCACACCCCCCACGGACACGCACCCTCCGAGGACGCCGGCACCTGGGCCCCAGCGGGCGGCTGTGCAGCAGCCTCACACGCAGACCACGGCAGAGCCTTGCCCACACAGGTCCGGGTAGATCCCACCTATGGAACAG